GATGGATGGATGGATGGATGATGGATTATGCAGAAAAAGTAGAATTGGGCTGAAAGATCCATCGCTTTATCACCTATTCAGGTTGTAAATCGTGTTTTTAAAAAGTAACTAATAACTAAGTAATTAATTACTTTTGAAAATAAGTCATCAGTAAAGTAACGGGATTACTTTTTGGGGGAAGTAATCAGTAATTAGTTACTGATTACTTTTTTCAAGTAACTTGACCAACACTGTATATGATGCTGATATATATAATACAGACATTTACTGTTTGATGCAATTGGAAATTTGTATGCATTTCTTTTCTATTTCCTTTCTGTATGAGCAGCCTTGTTTCTACAGCAGCCTATGGTACTCATGAGTTTATAAGCATCCTTTCTGAAAGCTTTAGTGAAGATAGCATAGAGGAAGGGATTGGCACATGAATTGATGGGAAAAAAGAGGACCAACAGAATTTTGGAGTTGGTAACTGTGATGAGGGGAAACTTAAAAGCAGCAGAGATGGCAAAGAAGGAGATGGGTGCCATGCACAGAAAATCCGTGAAGATGAGTACCGCCATGCGCTGTGCGATCCTGGTGTCTGCACTTCTTCTGGGTAAGTCAGGGTTTTTTACAGCCAGGTAGATCAGCACATAGCAAACGCAAACAACGAGGAAGGCGCCCACATTGAGGAGCAGGATAATTATGACAAAAGCCTGAGCCAAATGAGTCTCTATGTCCATGGGTAAGCACATGCTGACTTTGGTGTAGCTACTGACACCAATCAAGGGCAGTATCCCCATCCCCAGACAGATGAGCCAACCTACTGCCATTATGCCTGCAGCTTGCATAAGAACCAGGTGGCGCTCTACCTGCATAGCATTGGTGATGGTGTGCCAACGCTCCAGGATGATGGTAGAAAGTGTGTAAACTGACAGCTCCCCACCAAAAACTGACAGGAAGCCAGCAGCACTGCAACCAGGTCCTGTCTGCCATTCAATGGCGTGCTGACTGTAGCTACCACGAGTACGCAAGTCTACAGTAGCTATCATCAGAAGGTAGACCCCAATGCAAAGGTCTGCAAAAGCCAGGTGGCACATGAGGAAGCGAGGTACTGTCAGCTTGTTCCGGCTGCTGAAGAAGACCAGCAGCACTGTCAGATTACCTGTAATAGCCAATAAATTGATGAACCAAATAGCTACTCTGAGAAAACTGAAACCCGCGATGTCTTCACAGGGGTTGAAAGCATCTGCCTCAGGTGTGCAAACCAGAGTGAGGGTGGTCTGGCAGAGGTCCAGTTCTGGATAGTGGAAATTTACATCTTCATAGCTTTCATCTTCAGCAAGCAGGTCACCTTCCAAGAAGTACGGCACGTCCGTAAGTAGAGATGTGTCTGTTAACCCTCCGATTACAGGCTGAACCCTGCTTTTGAAGGAGATTTAAATGGAAAAAAAGAAGATATTGTTTAAATAAAGAGCTCAGAATGAAGATATCTTAAAATAAGTGAAGTATGGTAAGTAAAGTAAACCAAGGGGCAAATCCATTTCAAACACACTTGTAAGTTGATTTCAATAAGGTGTAAAGTTTATTAGAGTAAAAATAAAAATGAGATTTAGGACAGGTAAATATTGCTGAATCAAATGATTTACCTGCCGGCTGGATCTCTCTCAATACAGGCTGTAGAGCTGTTATTCCACACAGGATTAATTGGTAAGTCTCTGTAGAAAAGCAAGAACATGATAAAAAGTTATGTCACCATTACATGGCATATTTCAGGTTCAGAGGTTTGTGAAACCTGTGATATATTGTGTAACGCAATTCAGCATTGCTTAATAAGCAAAGGATTCTGATTTTGATGGACTTAAATTTAGACTACTGCATGGAAATTCAAAGAGTCATGGGGTAGGGTTGAGCTTTGAGCATGCACAGTGTAAGTTACCTGTGAGTGTTCCAGTTCAGCAGTGCACAGCAGTGGCTGTTGTAGGTGAGATGAGCTTCTCGCAGACTCCACAGTCCCTGCAGAGGAGGCAGACTCTTCAAGGTGTAGGCGGACTGAGCAAACAACACTAGAACTGACTCCAGTCCCTGTGATGGCAGCTTTGTAAGAGCTGTGGCAGAAACATCCCTGTGAAAAAAATAACCGACATTAATACAGTGTGACAGAGTTTTTGTGTCCACTGTGCTGTTTTACACTGCCATTGTTCATCAGACTGTTACTGTTTCTCTCTGCTGAGCTGAAGTCCACAGTGTGTTCTTTGAAGATTACATGAAAATTATGAAGGACATAAAAGCAATTCAGGAGAGTAAGACCATGTCCAGACACAGAATACAGCCTGTGTCAAGTCTTAAAGTTTAACTGGTGTGTTTAGTAAGCATCTTCCTCCTTTTGCTTCCCTATTCTTCTTCCCCTATTTCTTCTTCTTTCCTTTCAGCTGCTCGCTTTAGGGGCCAAAACAGAAGATCATCTGCCTCCACCGCACCCCTTCTCTAGTACCCTCCTCTGTCACACAAACTCTGCTTAAATGTCCTTCTTCACCATATCCACAAATCTTATTCTTCTTCTCCTGCCTGGGATCTCCATCTTCAGCATTCTTTGTCCATTATATTCACTGTCCCTCCTCTGCACATGTCCAGACTACTTCAGCATTACCTCTCTAACTTTCAGAGTAGCCATCTCCAAACTATACATCATGGTGCCATCACCATCTTCTGAACCTTCCCTTTCACTGTTGCTATCTTTCTGTCACATGTCCCAACCATGCCCTCTCCTGACAACCCACTCCACCATGCCTGCAAGTTCTTCTTCGCCTCTCTTGTGCTCTGTCCTCATGATGAGCCCAATATTTGATGTTTCAAAGATTCTACACCGGATACCCGCCCTGACGCAAACTTCTCATTTGTTGGCTCTAGGCTTGTTGAACACCCTACCCCCCACCCTGGCTGGGTTTCCTTTAGCTTTCCTCAATAAATCAAAATAAACTTAGCACAAAGTGACTTTTAGGAGTATACAAATAAAAACTTACAAGACTCCAGGGCCCGTGCCTCCTGTGAAAGCATCTTTATGGATCACTCTAAGGTTTCGATTATTTTTTAATACCCTAAACATAGCAGAACACAAGGAGCAAAACTTTAATGGTGCAAAAGAAGAATTTTAAACAGAAATTAGACATAATGTGGTAAAATGAAACAAATACAGCTTATCTATCTTTGTTCCGTTGAAGGCATGCTCGTGTATTTTTCTTATGCCATTGTTGTACAGGTTCCTGAAAATGTAAGAAACATTTGCATGTTCAAACTTTCTGGACTGCTATAATACAATTTCAAAATAAGTGAAAGTGTCCTATACATTGCAATACTCACATTGTAACATATTCCTTTGACATTCCAGTGAAAGCGTTTGTGGGTATTTCTAGAAGGAAGATGTTGTCGCATATATCCCTGCAAAAATAGTAATAAGTGTAATAATAAGTTGAAACTGGACTTGCAGTAACACTGAAGATTTCCTTTGTATTAGTCTCTATGAATATAACAAGAAATTTACTCACAAGACGAACTCAGATTCAAGTGAACTGATTGATGTGACATCAGGAAAAACTGCAATACCGGTATTTGAAATACTCCTGTAAATAAAAAGAGCAATGTGCCACTTTCATTTGACAAAGATGAAAAAAAAAGTTTGTTGCAAGTCAGACTGCACTGTAGGAATTTTAAAAAACTGACAAATGAATAAATAAATTTTAAGTTGTCTCACAAGTAGCGAAGTTTGGGGAGGTTGTTAAATGCTCCTCTGTCAATGTGCATGAGACTTCTTGTGTTCTGGATTGAGCTGCAAAGCAGTACAGAGCATACAGTCCATACCGGGGTGCACTACAGTAATCGTGACTTTAATGGACTGGGAGAATCACAGAAAAGACTTACATTTCAGAGAGGCTGAGGAGGTTGTTAAATGCTAATGTCTCAATGGTTTTCAGGGTTACGCTTTGAGTAATCTCTCTGTGTACAGCAGAAAATAAATAGTGAGATTCTTCTTAACATTTACGTCACACTGTCAGACTAATGTGCAGTATAAACACACTGCAACCATTTTTATGAGATTTGCCACAAAAAACAAAGCAGAGACACTGCAATAATTAGTTTATCTGATGCAAAACCCAAATCTTCTTATATTTGGAGCATGAATTTTCATCATATTGTTCCTCACTTAAGCAGTATCACAAGTGAGTCGGAATTTTTCAGCAAAAGAAATGTGATACGTACATCCTCTGGACTCCTTTTAAACCTTCAAAGGAATGGCTTGAAATTGTTTGCAAAGACAGATGATAAAGAAACCTGCGAAAGGAGGCATAAAAAGATTGGGAGGACAGTTTAATGATGTAATAGAGACGTAGTGACATCTTAAAATCATCTGAGGCTCTGTGACAAAAAGGTAAGTGTAGCCATGGCACAGGTTTTGTCATAGCAACTATTTAGTGTTCAATTAGAACGAAATTTTCCTAGGTTTTGTTTACAGCCTGTCTGGACACACTGTTTTGTTTTTTGTTTTTTTTTTTATCTCTAACAGAAATGCACCATTTAGGTTGTTTGAGGCATTCATAATAAGCATAGAGCAAGTTCTCTTCCCACCAGTGAGCAACATTTCCACATCTGCAACATATACATTATTCCCAGCTAACAGAAATGGTCTGTCAATATCATAAACAAATAGAAGTTGTAATTTGGTAGAACAGAAAGTTCCAGGAGCGAGTGTATAGAATTACTGGCAGCATTTGATAGACACACAAAGCTGCCAGCCTTGGTGTTCACAGACGTTAATCACAAGAGGGTCAAGGTGTTGTGTACTCTGTTACTGAAGAGGAGGTCAAGATTACCCACCTTCAAGGCTTTTGACAGTAAACTCAACAAGTGAGCTGTAATGTCCAGAAAAGCATACAAAAAGAGGTGTACTCACAATGTGTGAGAGCAACTTGACATTTGCTTCATCGGTAATTAAGCTGGACACATGCAGGGGACTGTGTTTTTTAAAAAAAAAGAAAAAAGGGTGTGATGTACTACTTAAATGAAATAAATACAGTCCATGCTTGGAAGCAGACGTTCTTCACTCTCCAGTAGGGATCGATCCAGATTTATCTCTCAATATTATGAAGACTTAGAGTGGTCTGAATGTAAAACATAAAAAGTTCTCACAGGAAGATGCACAAGAAAACAAGAACACAGCTGGCCTTTGTTTTATCTACCTGAGAACGCATGCACACAATACTGACAGAGCAGGTGTGTATGTTTGGATGGGGTTTTTTTTGTTCTTGATGTTTTTTAATGAAGCAGACTTTATCATACCACTGATGCTTAAATTAGAAACATACAAAATGCTTCCATGGCTAAAGTTGAGGATAAAAGAAAACAAGAAAAAGATACTGCCACTTGGTGAAACTAGATGCAGTGTTGGAATAATGTTTGTATGTTAAGATTGATTTGGAATACATTCAGAGTGCAGAGATTGCTTCCAAAAATGTTTTTATGCCAGAGTACTGGTAATGGTTGTTGAATGATCAAAGGTTACACCTGAGACACCCCCCCAAGTATACAATAAATACTGGAACCAAAATCCGTTTTAAATGGGTGCTCAAAATTAAGGCCACTTACAACAGGTTAAAAAATGTGATGAAGCGTGATTTGATCACTGTTAACTCTACAAACAGCAGAGCAGAGCTAAACAAGAAAGACGTTTCAGTGCGGATCTTAGCCCCGTGCATAAATAGGCGCGGAATAATAATGGCAATTGCTTAATCACACGAATTAGCTGCCTTAAAAAAAAAAAAAGATCCACCCTGTAAACGCATTATTCCACATGTTGCCAACTTACAATCTTCTATCCCTGTGGTCCATCACTGGAGCTGCCCCTTGTGTTATATTGTTGCACTTGATTGCATTGGAGAAACATCGGCAGATCCTCGGGCACACGAAATTCCTGCATCCATGGAACAATGAGACGAACAGGAGCAGGGATACTGACGGCGATGTCCACATCGTTGGTGTTTTCTGGAAAACTTCGCAGAAGCTGAGATGTCGACTGAATGTCCCTTCATCAACAAGAAGTTGCTTCCCTTTAATCGCGCTTTGAATCTCAATCACCTGACCTCCAGCTTCCTATCAAGTGGCTCTTGTGTCGCAAAGAGTTTTTTTTATAAGCATCCGAAAAGGAAAGTGACACGTGATCGCAAAGTTGAGCCCTGTAATTTTTTTTTCTTTTTATGATGACGATTCATTATTAGGTCTATTCTAAGTAAGGTTAATGTAGACATGATTGCGGATTAAAGCACCCCAAAACAGAGCGCAGACGTTTTTAACGACTGGATACATTATTACCGGATTTATACGTTTTCTATGAGCACATCTGATTGTAAACACAATCATCTGGATCCCCAGTTAGACTTGCAGCAGTGACCTTGGTTAAAAGAACATACGTAGATCATTGTGACGGTGTATCGTTTAAGATGTAGGCTAAACTGGCGTAATGAGAAAGTATCTGGAAGTAAACCGCAAACATCCAAGAGACAATAACCTTTGATGTTCAATTATCTTCCTCCCCTGGCAATGGTTTTGCTGTGATTGGATGCTTTCAGAGCCACTTTTCTCTCACTGTTGAGTTTGCTAACCCTTGTGTCTGTAATTGGAGTGTATTTTAGGATAGTTAAAATGAAGATTTCGTTTGGCATGCACATAAAGATCCAAAGTCGATGACTGTGTCCCTCGGAAGAACAGTGTGACCCATAGTCAGAAGCCTCCCATAACTGTATCTCGTTTGGCGCCCGTTATAGAGCTGTTGCTGATAAAGGCAAGGCAACATTGTGTAGCCTTGAAACACAACCTGTTTTAGGTCGTTATACTGAAAGAGTATATTCAGTATATATTAAATTAGAAACATGGTAATGATCTAGATGGCTGTTTGAAAACTGAGCATAACAACAAGGTATTTGAAACTCCACTTGTTCAAACAAAATTTTTGATGGAGACATATCTGCGAAAAGCGTAGGATTTAATTAAAAATCAGTGTATTTTTTAAAAGTTTCCTTACTTAACTGCTCAATCAGTGAAACGTGTCGGATGATCTTTCTTTTGGGCATGGTTGAACTAATGCTAAAGTTATTGATGGACTTAATTCCAAGCACTCTTTCCACAAGATAAACCAGTGCGACGACCAAAGAGGGTCCGTTGCTTCTCTGCTGGGAAGACAGTGCCAGGTTGTTGTTTGTTTTATTTAATTGTATTTTTTGCACTGTGGTAATATCTCTACTGGGTGGCGACAAAGCAACATCATTGAGAAAAACAGTAAGAGCGCATTTTCTCAGGGAACGACCAGAAATCCTTCGCTAATACTGGATATATTTATGTGACTGTAAATCTGTGTTTCTCGTGTTGGTTTTAAAACAAAATAATTAAACAGGATCAGAAATGTCCTTGAGGTATTACTAACCAATCAGCTACGGAGAGGCAACAGTAGCAATTCAAAGGAAGTGGCGTTAAGGAAGTCGCCTTTGAGCTGATCTGGGGTCAGTGATAGAAATGCCAGCCCCGGAAATGGTAGCAAATTGACTGCAATTAAACCGACCCCAAGTCAGTACGTACAAAGGGCAGTACACAGGAAGTCAAACTTATAACAGCTGCGATAACAGTTGTGGGTATAAACCACATAGGTTACAGTCTGAAAAAGAGAACAAGGGTCCACTTTTTTTCTGGCCAGTTCGCCAGCTAGCTCGTAGCGATGGACAAGCTTCGTCGTGTGCTAAGCGGTCGAGAAGACAACGAGGAACTGGGTCTCACTGCACAGGTAGGAACTGCTTGACAGGCTACGCTGCTAATGCTAACGGACTGTCAAGAGAACGGATAACATTCAAACGCCTAATAATAAAGCATCGCTTTCGCTGCCTGTTTAAAATTCTGAGCTAATGTTAAGATACCGTTGTCTGCATGCGATTTTATATTCACTGAGTTAGCGGCTTGTAGCAGTTAATAATGAAAAAATGCTATTTTGTGTTAGCTCCGGTTAACTAGCGTCCTCTGGCCGTTTAAAGCCAGCTGTCTTGACTTTCTGTTAGCACTTAACTTTACTGAGTCATGTGTATTTATCTGTACCTCTTTTTCACGCGTTCACGATAAGGAGGAAATAAGGTAAGGTAATGCTTTCGAAGTCAGTTTATTGGTGTTTTGTATTCTACACTTTTTTTTCCTGCTTTTGTTTATTATTCTTTGCAGATTCTACTTCAGTTATGTTCTGTATTTCTTAACATATGCTAGCATAATCCCCGTTTGTGGTGTGGCCGCTGTATGATTGATTAGCAGGAAGCCCGTGGGCTTTTTCTGCAGGTCACTGGGTCTGTCTTGTGACATCCTCCCATTGTTCTCACCAGGTCCTTGATGCCAGCACTCTCAGCTACAGCACCAGGGTGAAATGGTTTGTCATCTGCTTTGCTGGAGGCATCCTGTGTTCAATACTTGTGAGTGTATTTGTCAGGCAAAATTGATGTTTTTGTGTCCTTTTTGCCTTCATACTGACCAAAGGAATGTGGAGAAGGCTTTTTTTTTTTCCTCCACTGCCGCCAAAGCAATTTCCTCTGTTACTCCAGCAGATCAGTACGATCAACTCCTACTGTCACTTATACTTAAGTAACCCACATCGGGTACATAAATCTTACTTATCAGTTTGTAGCCTTGCAGAAGAGAAGGCACTGTCAACTGTTGCTGTCAACAGTTTGAAGCCACTGCCATTTTTCGCACCCATTGTAAAATGCAGGTTTTGTTTATAGGTGGTAACATTCACAGTTACCACAATCGTTGTAGAAAATCTAGTGGCATGAAAACTCGTAATATTTAAGTCTTTAAATGCCCTTTTTTCAAAATTTGGTTTTTTTTTCTAGCTGCTCACACACTGCTAGCCATCACCGTGTTTGCAGCAATAACTAAAATACACATTTACAAACCTATTGCTGCTTGTCTGGTTACATAAATATCACTAAATGCAGCAGTGTCTTTCCAGAATGAATATCTATCCAGATGTTTTTTTTCTTTTTCCCAGAATCTTAGCTGCTTCATCTTATTAGAAGCTTCTTACAGCTGCTCCCTTATTCACATTTGATTACCTTCCTGACGCAGCCCCAAAGGGGATTTGTATCTCCTCCTGATCTTAAATGTGTTAGTCTTATGTGTGAACCACCACACTGTAGAGCCACTGACTATTTTATCTTATTAAAATTATTAATCATAACTTTAGATAAGGCTGAAACCCTCACAACTTATCAAAAGAAATATATTAGTGTTTTATAATCTCTTCCTATGGCTAAACATAAGCTCTGTTTACAATTGGACTGCAGCCAGGGGTGTTTCCAGGATGTTGTTTTTTTTGTTTTGTTTTTTAATTGGGCTTCACAGGGGAGACCAAGAATGCAGCGGTGGCAATAGGGTGGCACAGGAGATTAGAATGTTTAGTCGGAAATATTTAATGAGAATCGTGTATAGAAAAAGTATTTAGACTGTTTGCTTAAGTAAAAGATTAAGGTAATGTAATAATTCATATGATGTTCAACCAAATATATTTAAAGTACTCGGGGGGGTGGGGGGGGGATGACACTTTTTAGAATTATTTAAATGATATTATTCGATTTATGATTTATGTATTGAAGCGTATATCTTTCTAATGAATACACTTGTTGATTATTTTAATTATTTATTAGTTGGTAGACTGGTACTATATAATGTAATTAATCTGCAAAATAATAAATAACTGAAGCTTTAAAATGGATAGTCTGGCATAAGAATAGTAATAATCACATTCAGAATTTAGTAGAGTAAAAGCAGAAAACGGCGTAGTACTAGTAAAAGTAATTAAGTAAATATTTCAGCAGCACTAGTGCCACCTATGGCCCCTTTTAGACACGCCCCTGACTGCAGCACTGGTCCAGTAGTACTAAAGTCTATTATTATCCAAACCAACCTTATGGGCTTCTAACAGTAGGGGGAGACAAACGTTTTTCAGTCCAACCACAGGACAGCCACTTCTGCTCTTTTTCTTTCTCTTTTTTTCAGCAGGATTTTTAACCGGGTTATTAACAGTTAACCCTTTAACCTGGTTAAGTTCTAGGTCTCACTTAGTAGCTATTATATCTGTTTATTTTTGTCTATTATATCTGTTTTAAAATGATGATATGAATTTGTGTAGCTGAATTATTTTTTTCTTTTTTAATCTCTTTACCAGGGCACAGCACTGCTGTTCCTTCCAAGTGGCTTGAAGCTCTTTGCAGTCTTTTACACACTAGGGAATATTGCAGCTCTTGCCAGGTAAGTCCAGTTTAATTTTAAGTGTTACTGGTATTGTACTGTATTATCATCAGCATTTTGTCATCAGTATGACACACTGCAAGAAAGCAACAAAAAAAAGTCCTCTTAAAGGTTATATTGTCACTCATGGCTGGAGTATCTTGTCACAGTCATAATTCTTTAAGGTTTGCTTTGTGGTGACTTTCTGTAGTGTGTGTGTGTGTGTGTGATTTATCAACATTGTCCTTGTGTTCATTCATAACCTGCTGCTCTGTGTTTGCAACACTGCCTGAAGAACTATGAGAGGTTTTCAGCTCATAATGAATGACATTGTTACATATTGTCAGTATGAGTTATACAGTTTGATGCAACAAAGCAAGTAATCTAATCTTGATGAAAGCATTGTCATTTATTAAAGTTGTCACTCCTGTGCAGCTCTGATAGCCATTTTTAGGTTTTCAAAATCTGAACCCAAGGATGAACTGAATAAATCTTTTGTGCTGTTGAGTATATAAGAACGCACTTTGTACAACTTTTAGTGTTTGAAACTCAAAGACCTCTAAAGTCTTTGAGTTTCACCATCATCAGTCATAAATACAGATTTGTAGACACATTTTATTACAGCAAACTTGCGCTGTGCTTTCAGACCTCTTATCAAATTTGTACCCATTTTATTTGAATTCTATTTCTTCAGTTAATATTTACTCTCAATCCTTGAAACACTACAGAGTTTGCTGCTGAGAGTATACAAACTAAAACTATTGGGAGCAGGTCATTGGTGTGGGGCTGCCTTGTTTTTACTGATTCTTTTACCAGCATCATATTTGAAGTATAATGTAGATTCTCTGCTGATATTGTAAAGGTATAAGTAGACCAGTTTAAACTTTCAATGCTTTAGTTATCAGTTTAGGAGTGAAAACCAGTACAGAAAATGTACTCAGCCATAAAATAATTGACTGGAGTTAGAATGTTTATTTTACTGCTCTGTATGCTAAATCACCAGATTAATGATTTTCTACAGCATTCATCTTTCATATTTTACTGGTGTTTACATAAATGGTAAATGGCCTGTATTTATATAGCGCTTTACTAGTCCCTAAGGACCCCAAAGCGCTTTACATATCCAGTCATCCACCCATTCACACACACATCCACACACTGGTGATGGCAAGCTACATTGTAGCCACAGCCACCCTGGGGCGCACTGACAGAGGTGAGGCTGCCGGACACTGGCGCCACCGGGCCCTCTGACCACCACCAGTAGGCAACGGGTGAAGTGTCTTGCCCAAGGACACAACGACCGAGACTGTCAGAGCCGGGGCTCGAACCGGCAACCTTCCGATTACAAGGCGAACTCCCAACTCTTAAGCCACGATCGCCCCGATGTTCTTTATAGATTGTTAATCACCTAAAGTCTCTAGAGTGGGTGGCATTTTCTCTCGCAGAAGATTCTTAAGATCTGTGAAACACCCCTTTTAGATTGGTCAGATCCTGCCAACATCACTCCTTTCATGTGAACATGCAGGGGAAACCCTGGGTTAATTTAGTGAGTTGGAGAACTAGCTTCTTTTGACCACTTATTCTGAACGCCAATGTTAGGGTAAATGAATCCAGATAACCTGGTTATGTTGCACTCACCCAGGAATCTGTGAGTCCTTACTGACACTGTTATAATTATTCCTTATTTTGAGGCCATGAATATTATTCTTCTAACTGTTAAATTAAAAAAAACTGCGGTGAAAAGCTGGAATGCATAGGAGTTGTTAGCGGAGGTCTGCAAAAGAGCTGCATCAAAGTGTTGTGCAGTTACGTAGGCAAGGTGTACATCAGGTTCTGACATAAGTTAATTTGTAGAGCTTCAGAGGGGTTTGCAGTTTACATCCTACCTACAGGATAGGATTCCCACAGAGACGAGCAGGGGCAGCATAGCTGTGTGTCTCCTCTAGTCTTTTTTTTTTTTTTTTTTTTTAATAGGAGGATGTGAGTAAATGAGCTCCTTGTTTGTATAGGAGCAAACAGCTGTTTTCTTTCCTGTCACAGGGAACCAAACTTGCAAAGTGTGGTTAAAACTTTAGTTTTACTTATTCGGTACCAGTTTATAAATGGATCATCTTGGGGACCTTCACATAGTTAATTCAAGACTTTCCAGTAGAGAGAAATCTAAACTAACCCCCTTCTTAAAAATCACCAGCAATGTAGGCGAAAAAAACTCAATATAAAGTTCAAGATTAGAAATGTATCTTTATAGATGTCACAGATCTACAACATTTAGATTTGTATTTGTAGGTGAACTAAGGTCTAAATCTTACAGTAATGTCTTTGACTTCTTTTGACAGACACTGAACGCTTGATTTGGTGATTGTTATCAGACTGTACAGTCTCTGTTTTCAGGTATTAAATATCCAGAAGGTTAGATGCATCAAGAAACTAGGTCGCCTTCTTCATAGCTCAGGTTAACAGTCCAGTGCAAAAGAGTATCATATTATTTTACAGAGCTTAACCTACTTTATAAAAACGGTATGCTGCTGGTTTCTTCTTGACGGCCACAGGTATGAAAACAGGAGGCACTATGTGCTGTGTTTTAATGACAAAAGAACACAATTATGTAACACAACAAAAGCTCAATTTAGCTTAAACTCTGATTTCAAATGTCTATTCAGTGATCTGCCAAAATCTTAACACCTAATGTGTTAAAATTACGTGATCAGTTTTACAGTCAGCGACGCACTCTTTTAGGTGCCAGATCTTTTTCCCAGCATGTGCGCCAATCATTAGTGTCTTTGACACTCTGAGGAGAGAAAAAAAAGCCTCCCTCTCAACAGACCAGCAGAGAGAGCCTGCGTCAGCCCACATTACTCTTGTGTCTCATCTAACAGATGTGACGCTCCACGGACTCCCTCTGCCCACTCAGCTCAGCTGAGCCCAAAGCTGCGTGCCTCGTCAGTGGGGAAAGCCTTTGTCTTGTTAAATTCACTGACGTAACACATGCATCATGTAGGAGGTCTTAAGTGTTGGGAATGAAACATTTAAACTGTAATTATTGCCACATGTAGTCCAAATTTGATTTTGTTGGTCACGTTTTTCAGATGTTACTCATACTGTGCTGTATGCGGTCAGTGTATTACTCATGTTGTGGGGAACCAGTTTGTTTACAAAAGGGATCTGTCCCATTCTTGTGAATTTAGTTTGGGACTTCCCTGAGATTGTGGGGGTTTTTTTTTGTTTTTTGTTTTTTTAACCCTTCAGTATTTATACATTTGTTTGTTTTGTCAACTTTTTCTATCAACGTTTTAGGCTTGGACGGTTACATGTACTGCTTTTCCACTGCAGACACATCTCTGCCCATTTACTCTTTTCAGTGAGCAGCTGCCCATCAGTTAACAACTACCGTTGTTACTACCAAAGCCTCATAACCCCCAAAATGCAATTCAAGATGGCTGTGAAAGCAACTACATATTTATTGTATTCAGCCTCTGCTGCACTGCAGAAAATCACTGGGGAGGGGAAATGACTACTTAATGCTATGAAGGCAAATTATAATAATATTATAATTATAATAATGATTCATAATTCGAGAGTATCTGTGGAGCATGGCCACCTGATGGGCAGTTATCTGGTTTACGTTTTGTAGTCTGCTTGTTGGCAAAGTTCCATTGGCCAATTACTTATCAGCAAGCCTCAGTGAATGCAGGTATACAGTGCTTAAGGACCACACTTACATAATCAAAACAATCAGCTATCATGTGACATGAGCTATCAGTTTTTACTCATCTGTAGTTGTAATTGTTGACCAAACTGGAAGTCTTAAAGTAGAGTGGTTAAACTGGAAGTCCTGATAAACTGACGCTGCCTTTGGAGGCAAATGCAGATGAGCCAGTGTGACTGTTGCAGTGGAAGGCTTGAAACTGAGCTTTTTGTTTGTTTGTTTTCTTAGCTTAAACTTCTATATTGTTCAAAAGTGATGCGTTGAGGGTGTGAAGTTTTTCCTCTGCTTGTTTGACAACCACAGCTATAACAGACTTGTTTACTGAGCTTAATCCATCTACTTTTTTATTGTTCTCCCAAAGCACCTGCTTCCTAATGGGACCACTAAAACAGCTGAAGCGCATGTTTGAACCAACACGACTGATAGCAACCATTGTTGTGCTGGTAAATACTGTGTTTTACTATTTTGACTTAGATTATGCAAGGCACTGCACTTCCACTTACAGTAGTTGGTGGTTTATGAGTAACGTAACTTAACAACACATTTCACCTTGACAGTGTGGATGTTTTCTTGAGTAACATTTAAATGTTTTGGGGGTTTTGTTTGTTTTTTACGTTGTTTTTCTGATAGGTTGAAAATAAATGGAGAAAAATTAAAACTGAACTTTGTACAAGCAAGCAAAAAGTTTATACAAGCTGATCTCTCCTTCTTACAGCTCTGCCTGGTCTTAACGCTTTGTTCAGTGTTTTGGGTAAGTATGTTTCAATACAAACAAATCAGTTTGCAGTTATTAATTTAAAGTAGTGTTATTAAAATTGTTTTTTTTTTTTATTGACTTTACAGTGGGGTAAAAAGGGACTGGCCATAATCTTCTGTATTCTGCAGTTTCTGGCAATGACGTGGTAAGGATGACTTAGTAGTCTAAACCATTTCAGTACAGTTTGTTCATTATTCACACCTACAGTGATCAGCCTCAGACCACTGACACTTGCAATGAATAACTCATTAAAATCCAACAGTTTGCTTAGAAACCCTAGCTCTTATTTTATGTTATACTTATATTGAAATCGCACCATAAGTTTATTTTATAGTATTTGTAGATACATCTGTAAGTGAGCCACATATTTGGCTAAAAGTGTAAAGGCGAATACACTTAATTTTAGCCAAGCTATACTGGATTTTATTGTTCAGGGCAAAATGATAGCAAGCACGATCCAAGTATATTGATTAAATTGGTTTACCCTAGTTTGCCAGAGCAGACAGTGACATCTGTTTGAAATGCAGGTTACAATTAAAGGTGTTGTAATAAGACTGATGGGCAAGAGGCCATGCCTGATTGTAGGTCAGCGTATGTTTGCCCTGTAAAGAAGAAGGCAGGATCGTGTAGTGCTATTTAGCTGTGGGGATTGGGCAGACAGGCATGGATTGTTTACACACAACACGAAGTGGCTGCCAGCTCTCTGTGGAGTCATTACTATAATGAAAACTACATATGAACGGTCCAGGGAGAATACATGGCACCTATTAATCCTTAATTAGTTATCTGTTCTTATGCTAAGTGTGTAACACAAAGAGCTAAACAACCCATCTTTCACTTATAAGCTATAGTGTTTTAAAAACTGATTTTTATGTCCATTTACAACGTCCACAATTTCTTTTGTCATTTAACCGCATGTCCTTTACTCAAATGTTTTAAAGCAGTTTTTTTTCTTCTTCTTTTTAGTTCCTTTTTACATTTAAAATCTTCATAAGTCATGAATCTTTTTCGTCTGAGGGTAATGTTATTTTTACTAGAGCATTTTATAATATTTGGCCTTTTTAGTTTGCAGAGCTTAAAGAAGTTGTCTGTAATTTTGCAAATGGATGAATTGCTTAAGTTTTTTAGCCTGTTGTTAAATTGACTTAAATGTATATCATGCAAATATCAATCTTACAAGCTATTTGAGCTTTTATTTGACATCTACACAGTCAGTGGAATTAAGCTTAACCTTAGACGTGAATGAATGATATGGATTAGCCTGTCAGTAATTTGTACGTTCACTTATTTGAACATATTTGCACAGCAGTAACAAAAGACTGTGTGTGTGTGTGTGTGTGTGTGTGTGTGTGTGTGACTGCATGGAAAAACGAGCCAGTAGGAACTATGGAGGAGGGGAATAGCCTGTGTCAGCCTTACAATCACACTGCTTTTACACCTACATGTCGTACATTCATTTCCGCTCTGCCTGCGTTCTCAAAGGCATCACCATGGAAACCACAAGTCACACATCCAGAACTCATTCTGAACAGACTGGGGGCATAGTGCACTCCCACGCAGCCACTCAGACGTCTGTGCGAAGGTGGTTCCGTAATAAGACGTCGCCACTGACCCGCACAGATGGGGTCAAAGTCCAGTCCTTGGGCTGAATTCTGTGAAATGACCATATGATCCTCAACCACAACTGACTGTCACAAGCTCAAGATAGTTACAATGGTTTTGTTATTAAACATCCTTCTTTGCTCTAACTAAATTAAGATAGTCAGAAGATTCACGTGTAAAAGTGTGTTACACTGCTTGTTATATTTGTTAAAGCTCTGCTTAAGACAGATGGGGATTCTTGTCGTTATGCTTGTTGGTATGCTCATGTTTGCGCTCTAGTTGATTATTTAACAGTGTCAGTGCATTCCTCACATATTTAAAATACATCACTGGTTTCATCAGGAATCTATTAAGCTGAACTTTAGCCGTGATCATTTCCTGGATAGGGTTCTGTGTTTGTTTCATAAGTGTGCCTGCTACCTTTCTGTCCGCAATTACTTGTACAAATATTACAGTATGTCCAATTAATGTACAATTACATTTTGTTAATCACTGCTAAGTGATTTTTTTTTGTTTGTTTGTTGTTGTTTTTTTTTGCCTGTCCCATTTGGTTCTTTTGCTATCAGAATTGTTGTCTAAAGGCAAAGAAAGATGCCCAACGGATTTACTTTACCAAATGGACCATCCCAGCCTTGCCGTATTGGTCTATTTGATTCACCTTTGCTTTTATTGTTTATTTTATTTTCATTTGCTGAACACGGCACAGACTTGACTGGGGAAAAGAAAAGAGAGAAAGAAAGGGGGAAAGGAAAAGAGCGGGGAAGAGGGACTGTGATAAAACTGCTAAGTGATATAAAAGAACCTTTGTCATAAGCATTATCGTATCAGATTTCAGTTCCTGGAAAGATTTAAAAAGGAATTTACAGGACAACTAGTTCAACGTATTTTGTTGTAGTGGCCTTAAATAATAAAATAAATGTAAACATTGAATCAAATTTAAAATGAGTTAAGGGACACATTCATTCATTCTTCATCAGTAGGTGAATACTAATGCAAAGGACTTTAAATACAGGTAATCTGCTTAAACTGGTATATGACATGCACAGTTCATTCGTAATTAGTATCTTCTTCTACAATCAATATCTGTCCTAAAAATATCCCACCATCACCAGTATTTTCCCTCATCCTTTTGTGTGTTTCTTCTCTTTCAGGTATAGCATCTCTTATATTCCATTTGCCAGGTAAGATGACAGGATTATACTTTGCAAGCTTTGCCTTGATATATGGATATGTGCTCGTACTCTCTGGCGTGCATGACCCTTCAATGAAAACATGTTTTGTTTTTTTTTGTTTTTTTATTTACGTCTTTCTCTTGTTTGCGTCCACCATATGGCTCTAATCCCCCAGTACGATCAGTGTAGGCTCTTGGTGTCAAACAAATGGCAGCCTGTTGTTTTCACACCCTCCATGCTTTAGTGCTGTGACATCATTGCTAAATCCATAATATCAAAATTAAGTAGCTTTTTTTTTTTTTTCTAAATGAAATAATGCTCTTTGAATCTGATTTGCCAAAAATATTTTCCTTAATGTAGCTTTTACATTGCATATAATGAGCTTGTGTGTTAAGCTTTACAGGGTTAAGGCACAATGCAAATTTTTGATTAGATCTGGCTAAGCTGTGCTGCATCAAAGACAAAAAGCCTGCAGTGTCATAAGTCGTTGTCACAGGTGTCTTAATGTTTTGCAGCTTTTCTGTAAAAGCAAAAAAATTCTCCACTGTACCAAAAGTGTTCACTTTGGTGCCACCTCATGCTGTACCACCTCAGTGCTTTACCTCCAGGCCAGGCATGAGGTGTGATGTTGTTTTGTCAGTTCAGATGCAAGTTGGGTTATAGCTCATTTGGTCCAGAGCCCCCATGCAGCCCCCACCCACTAAGTATCTTGTGTGTTTGGGCGACCCTATAATCCATCCTGACAGCTGAGGGACGTCCTTTTAACAACCTCAAGCTCCCCCTCCCCCAGCCCAAAAGCTAACAACAAAACGAGGCCTAGACAAAGACCTTTTCCCATGTCACTCCCCAAAAAACAAATTCCTGTAGAGGAATGCAAATTTTATGGCTGGGCTTTGTTTCTTTTTTGGGCTTGATACTAAAATGCTGCCAATCAGCTGCTTCTTTGTTACTGCTGCGTTTCTTATGTTATTTGTCAACACATTTGTGTTCTGTCTCCTTAAGCCTCTTACTTTAATCCATTTTTCATTTAATTCAGACTTGATTGCTTCGGCCTCTGTTGTTTTAAGTTGTTTCTGCATATTTTGATCTCACGATTTTATGGGGTGACACAATGCTATAGTACTTCCCATCCCTGTCTGTGTTCCAACAGTCTCCTTGGCTGGCCACTGCCATAACACATGGCCAGTGGACTTGATCCTTTAATGTATTTTACCTTGTTTTCTATTTATATCCCCTCACACATGCAGAGAGAGATACTAAAACCTGCTGCCTGTGCACGTCCCACACCACTTTAAGGCTGCTTTTGGCTCAGACATCTAATCAGAAATTGGGGAAAGCCCTTGAGACTGATAATTTATTTATGCAGTGGAAATGACAATAAGCTTTAAGTGATATATTTTTTTAAAACACAGAGGTTGGTTTGTTTGTTTTTAAGTTTTTTTTGTTTTGTTTTTTTTGTTTTTTTGTTTTTGATAAAAACCAAAGCATTTAAGGAAGCAACCCTTCTCTCCAGCGGCCTCCCCTCCTCCCTGTCAGACTGCTCATGATCCCCCTTGTTCTTTTAACCTTGACGGGTTTCGCACCTCCTCCTTCCAATTTCGAACGTGTCTGCAGGCAAAGTCTGCATAGCAACCACTGATGGCAAGAACAAACTGTGTGAAGCGAAATAGAGTAGGCAACGATCTGTGGTCGCCATGGTGATGGATTGCATTGCATCATCCTTCAACTTGGTGTACCTGGGGAAAAAAAGAAAAGGAAGCCCCCCCATCATTCTGAGCATGTGGTCCCTCCCCGCCAAAACACGGTCACTTATTCATGATGAGCCCCACCCAGATCATCGTAAAGATGGACTCATTGTTGCTTTTAATTTTGTACGCATGGCAGGATTTTGTCTTTGCTATATTTAGTTTTTCCTTTCATTTCTTAATTGCCTTTTTTCTGTTTCTCTCTTTTATTTGTTTTGACAGGGATGCTGTGATCAAGTGCTTCACGACCTGTCTGAGTTAGGACTCCAAAGTCTACAGTTTCCTATCAAGACTGGTCCTAATATGCAAACTGCGAACAAGAGGCTTTGTAAAATATACATGATTCTGTATATACATTATATTTCCAAATTTTTATTATGGCTTTCATACTGTGAAGTCTTGCTTTTTAAGTGTAGCTAAAGGTCTATAACTATCACCAGATAATAGGTATCAGTCTTTTGCTTTTGACATGAGTAATGGGTGCCTTTAATGGTTAATATATTTAAAAATATTCCTGAATTTTCTGAGTGTATTTATGCCATTTAAGTGCAGAAACTGATGTTGAGTCTGGTATGTGGTCAAATACAACAAAAGTGCCTTCTGATTATATGCAGCAGGAAGAAACCAGTTCAAATTTAAGTCAGGTTCTATATTTGCATTTTGAGCAGTATACAAATTAATTGTCATCTGGCTTCCTACATGCAAACGTTGTCAGAGCATTATCTCTCTCTCTTGGTGTGTGTGTGTGTGTGTGTGTGTGTGCGTGTGCGCGTCTTGTGCAAAGAGGCTCTGAGATGCTATTCCATGTTGATGTTCTCCCCTTGGCAATTGTGTCACTGCTTCACTGATAATGCCTGAAATATGATTTTTTTTTTTTTAATTTTTTTTTTTTCTACAGCTAAACAGAATTTAAAAAGCACTCAATCTTCAGTGCATCATGTGAAATCATGTTAAAAATGCTTCTCCTTTTTAGGTGTATTTCCTGCCAGATGTAGCAGTGACCCAGTTAATTACGCTTTTCTGAGCATTGTGATTTTTACGTGACCTAATAACCCAATATAGCTGGCATCATGTTCCCCTATACCGCTTCAGCGTGATGGTGTAGCCTTTGAGGATGTGGTTGTCATGACAACTTCCTCCAGAACACTCATAACCTTTTCCTACCCCCATTTGTGGTGCAGATGTTCACATCCTACTAACAAAGGTCTTTCTGCTTTTTAGAGCTCCTTGGGCCAGCAGTCTTGATCCCTTTGCATTTTTTTTTGCATTTAAACTAAAATGTGTTTTTCTACGTAATAAGAGCACAGCTCAAGTTGTTTAGTTTTTTTTTTTTTTTCTTAATTGCTTTATCAGATTAAATAATTCCTTTTTCTTTTCTTGCTACGCTTATGGGTTTGTTTGTTTTTTTGGGGGGGTAGACACTTGTATTTTTGTTGGATTACCATGGGCGAAATCTCCCCTCAGTACTTATTGTTATTGGACTTGGCAGAGACGCAGCAAATCCCTCTCGAAGTAATCTTGGGGGGGATAAAATAATTCTTTGAAATGAGTTTGTCGTCTTTGTTTTTTCTGATTGGTTTTCCATAGCAGCCATTTTTGGATTACACCAAAGTTTGAAGATGAATGGGAAGAACCCTGACCCCAGCAATCTGTTAGCGTCCCAACTGTTTCCCCTTCAGTACATTTAATCTGTTGTTATGTCAGAGAACGGCGATCATGCCTCGGCGAGCACTGAAATTAAACAAGTCTGTGTGTCTTCTTTAGCTTAATGATCTAAGTCTTCTTGCAGAGATGAATAAATAACTTGGCCTGTGTTGTGGTGGGAGTTGCTGTCCCAGTTATTGATTTTAAGTGTCTGAAGACTGTTAATTTTCAAAAAGCATTAAACACACATGCATTTTAGATGTAGTTTTATTTCCCCATCCCCAGAGCAACTGCATCTGATGCATGACTTAAAGCCAAGATGTTTCATGAACCATAAAATATGCAGGCAATATAAAATCGTTTAATAACTACAGATTAGCAAAAGGGCTCATTGATTTCTGCCTGGCAGAAAGTGCAGATAGAAGCAAAGAAGGACAAAGAAAAATCAATATTGCAGATTATTTGTGTATCCTATGAGATTCTATTTCATAGTCTACATGGCTAGAGTAACAAAAGTGACTGTCAATACACATCAGATAATTGACATTTGAGATCATATTTACTGAAAGGCTACAATGAAACTGCATGCCATTGTTCCTGTGACATGTTCAAGGACACACTGATCTGAGCACCAAGGACTAAACTCATGATTATGACCATAAGTTCTCTTTCTTTTCATCCAAGTATGTTTTGGCAGTGCAAATAAATTACAGAGTATTGATACTTTTGAAGTTGTTGAACTTTTTGAGTTTTGTATTTCGAATAAAGACGTTATGGGCTAAAAATGTTATAAGAAGTCGTTTTTTTCGGCTTTATAATTCTTTTTTACTGGGTTGAAATTTAGTTCTTTAACGGCATCACTTTTGTGAAAAACATTCAATGATGACTCATAGTTTTCAGGCTCATTATGTCCTAAAAAGCTTATGATGGGTACGATAATGCACGAGAAATGGATCCAGTAACTGGAAAGCAGCAGAGAGGCGCTGTGACAGGAGATGAGGGGAACTCTGGGTGGATGTGGCTCATCGTTTGAGGAAGTTGTTGAAAATTATGAAATGACATCATCAGTTTTTTCACGGCTTTGTTTGGCGCTTCTTGCCACGCCTTCCTGCCGGCTCCTGCATAAAGCGGCCGGGCTGCCTTGTGTGAACCAGTTGAACTCCAGTCAGCGCGGACAACAGGTGCAACGCAACCCCCTCCACCTTGTCTGTTGGATTATGCCCGCAGAGCGCCGGTCGTCGCTTTACGCAGGGCTTCCTCTTCTGCACTCAGAATAATTTGCACGCTTTTATATCCTGACCACTTCCAGACACAACGATGCCTTTTCCACCCATCAGCCTCCACCAGCGGATCTCATCGCCTGGCAGGGAACTATTCGGGAAAAAGAAAGCCAACGGAGTGCCTCCTGAGCAAACCAGCAAATCGTGCGGAGAGAGAGGGGGGTCGGATAAGGAGAAACAACCCACATCTTGGGCATCGGCGAATTTAAGGAACTTGGGGCGAAAACCCCAGCAGGACAAAAATAAAAGCCCCACTCAGAAGCCCGGTGCCGGGCAAGAGACCCAGGGAAAGTCTTCGTGGTTGATGGTGCCGAAACCTCAGGATTCATCTGAAGGAGTCAGGCGCTCCAGCTCCATGGACTCCACGAGACAACTCAGTGGAAAAGAGGAAGGGAAGAAGGAAATTCAATTTACACTCAGTCTCACCCCCGAAGCCATTCTTGTCATCCAAAAACGGAATCTAGAAAAACAAATGATGGCAAAGCAACAAAAGTGTTGCGCCGGCACCGATTTTCGGCACCGGCGAGTTTTTCCATCCAAAAAGACGCACGGGGGGTCCAAGGGCTGCGCGCCGGCCGCCAAAGCAGAGAGCGCGGAGCAGGACATCACCGCCATCGTTAAAATATCTCTGCTGAATGACCAATACAAGTACGATGATGTGGAGTATGAAGACGAGGACGGGGATGTGGATGAGACTGTTGTAAGGAAATGCAAAGAGTGGCTAAAAGGGGTCGAAAATGCCGCTGCTTTGGGAAAAGTCGACAAACTTTCCGCACTTCCGCACCTCAAAGGCTGCTGACACCTGGCTTTGATGTCTTGTTGTTAAGCCGGGACTCTCAGTGTGATGGACTCGTGAACAATGTGCAATTGGTGTAGATCTGTTGCAAAGGCATCCTGAATTTAATGTTCTCAAGTAAACGTTAAAGGGAGGAAATCCAGGTGTCTTCAGATGAATGTCAGTTTGTTAAAGAAATATATATTAAAAAAAATAGATGTCAATACCTTTAAAAAAAAGTCAATTAATTAAGAAAACGAATGAAATGAGGAAATTCCATTGGAATCATAAAAAGTCAAGAGGGAATCATTTACATTCCCCATCAAAAACAGGATTTTAAAAGTATCCAGCAGTGCTTAGGGCTCGCAGGGATATTTGCTTTGGGAGTTTGATGCCTGTTCATTATTTTATTTCTTTCAGTTTTAGTTAAATACCTTTAAATTCTCGTCCTTTGCACGTGGTTTCTATTTTTCAGTGAGGCGCCTGTGGATTGGCAGAGGGGTCTGCTCCTTTGTGTGGGAGAACAATAAACTGTCAACAACAGAGCTCTTTGCCTCTGCTCCTAAAAACCAAATTGAATTGTTTATTTTTCCTCTCATAAGAGGGTTATATCCTTTGCAGGGATTTACTAGTGGTGTACAGTATGTAATGTTTACTAAATATTTGTACTGTCACATATCTTTTCAGCTCATTAATTTAAGCAAATTCTAAGTAAAAATATTTTCTTTTTTTAATTATGCAACTGTCTCGATCCTTTTAAATCTTAAAAAAGCCGTATTGTGCTGTGCCTCTTAATTAAAAAAAACAAAAAACTAATTTGCAGTCATTTAGATTTCTTTTACACTTCTGGCCAGTTTTCAGACAAGCGTTTTAAAGGCTCTTTGTTGCCACTGTAGCTACCTGAGGCCATTTGGGCATTAGTGTTCTAAGCGTCTTAGATTTCCTGTTAAGCAGGGTTCACAAGTGTACTGTAGGGCCCAGGTGCATGACCCCTTTAGGAAATTACCTCCAGACTACCTTACGTATCACACTGGTATTAAAATCTGGTGAAAAGCCACATCTACAGGACTTGCTGCAAAGTAGCTCTAGTTTGAAGTGAACTATCCTGAAAGTATGCTGCTCGGGTAGTCGTCCAGGTCAGGGGGACAGAATATGGCTGTTTTAAGAAGGAAAAAATAAAAAGAAATAAACCACACATTGGAGTCGCAGATCATTTAAGCCATAAAAACTGGCTTATGCTTTTGTTTTTTTTAGAGTCACACCTGCCCACAGTGCATTGTATTGATCATTAAACTAACATTCAAATGCAAACCTCAGAACACAAATTCAGTTTCTATGCACGGCCAAATACAGATTTGAAATTCCTCTGTATGGAGATTCTCATTTGCAGCATTGTGTTCTGTAACTTGGTAACCAGACTTTTGCTCTGTGTGCGGTACATTTTGAACTCTATTACATTTCAGACAGAGGAGTGTTGTAAGTTTAAGACACGACAGCTTGTTTGGAGGGCTCACACACCAACAACTGGTAAGGCATTTTAAAACATATACCTCCGCTCGTAACCTCAGGTAATGCTGTTGTTTGGCAGATGTTTTATTAATGGAAAAACTCAGTTTTTTTTTTGTGTATTGCCTCTTCTCAGTAAACACTATCTTGGCAATAGAGTTGCCATAAAACTGGAGTGCAAAGACCTGATTCAATCAAGCGCTCTTTCCTCTATTGCAGATGTATTACCAGTTGGGGACAGGTGTTTCATATGACACACTCATCAGTTGTTTTCTTCTTAAAGGTGTTTCATTCAGGAATGGAGACAAGCCTGCAGCAAATAATCAAGTGTCAAATACATGTCCGGCCATAACTCTGTAAATGTCATTGTACAGTGTGTAACACCACAGACTTTCTCCACTGTGTCATCTGGATAAACAAGCAAAGCTTCTACAATAAAGCGTTTTCTCTTGAATAGATTTTCTCGTTCAGTCTCACAAGTGATTTGGTTGTTGAGTGCTGAGATCATGGGTGAGCCATTACAGCGTGTACCAAGACTCGTTTGGTTCTCCATGGTTCCTGTAGTGATATTATCAACTGGCTTAGTGACCAAAAGTTGTGTAATCCTCTTCTATTGTCTAATTTCTATTGCGGTCTTGTTTGTGTGTGTCTCTCTGGTATTCATTACTGGCTCATATGGGCCTGAAAGCCAAGCTATTCATGAGTGAGTCTGTCCTGGGGGTAAGAACTGCATCATTATGTGTGAAGTAGCTAAAATGCTTGTTGTCAATAGGAAAAGTGCAATTTGAAGGATTGGGGGCAGTTGCAAAGGGCGGCTTGGATAAAAGTGGAAACTTTATCTTTAAATCGCCCTTCAAGCCCTTTTGTTTTCATCTGGGTTGTGAAATCCAGACCAAGCTGGACTTTTTTTCCACCTTTTGCCGCAAACTATTTGTTTACACAAGAATCCATCCAATCCAAGTGACACTTCTGTTTCTAGATTAGGAGGGGGGGGAAGAAAGGCTGCGGGCTTTCTGTTCACCACACTGTACTGTGATCACTGTGTGGGAGAGTGGCGCGGGACAGCAGGGCAGCTTCATTATCCTCCCCTGATTTATAGTGGCAGGGAGCACAGATGGATGCAGCCTTCACTCTGTCACTGACACTTTGCACACAGCAAAGAGAGCAGAGAACTGCAGGTCCCTTAGCTGTGCCGCGATAGCATCACTGTGGCAACGGAACTGATAAATCCCGTGTTTCCAGCAGCTTTTGTGAGGAAGGACAAACCAGACATTTCCTGAACTGAGTCGGCCAATAAACTTTAGTGTTGTGGTCATCCAGGGTGAACCCCTCAAGACTGAGGCCTTTTTGCCAGAAACAAGGCAGCCTGAAAAAGAAGGCTTTGATCTGAGAGTGCTGTCCTCCCACAAAAGCTAAAAGATGTTTTTTCTTCGTTTAGGGATTATATGAGTGAGAGTAATCTCCTTTGGCATGTGTTGTATAACTAATAATGAGGACACCAGGGGAATGAAGAATATATGTGGGCATGTTTTCATGGTTTTTCCCACCTCAGGACAGAGTTACAATGACAAATACATGCAACACAAAGGGGGGACATAAACGTTGTATAAAAAGGCACAAACCTAAGCTGTCAATACAGAGCAGCATGCATGCTATCACTCCCATAAGGTTTGTGTTCCTTTTTTGCTTTTTATAACACCTACCACATCCTGCGCTCCTTTTTTGGTTTCACATTTTCTTTTTGCACTTTTACCAGATTTAGTGCATTTGAATTAAGGTGTATTAGAAATCTGTCCACAAACCTTCCCTGTGCAGCATCTACTAGGAACCATTCATTATCTGGATTAAGGAAAGGACACTGCTGCCTGATGATATGCTCAGAGTTATCTAGAGCCTCACTGAAGATCAGGGAATAGGATGAAGGCTTAGTGGGAGTGAAGGTGGGCATATTCCTGCAGCATATGGTCTTGTTTCTTTTTATTTACTTATTGGCTGCGCATTGCAAGAATACAATGTCAGGATGTTGTGTGGGAAGATGCTCTTGGCAAACGATGGGATTACAAAAAACAAAAAAACATTCTTTTTTAATCCTCAGGCTCCCACAGCATCTAAAGTAGGTCTTTACTGTTGATAGGCAGGGAATAAAGTCAACGCTCCGGAGGAGGAAGGCAGTTCGTGGCAGCAGCCAATTCCCAGAGAAAAAGGCCAGGACCTCCACATCAAGCACAGCTGGAACAAGTTATAAAATGATGTAATTACGCTATAATGTTTAAGACAGTTTGTAATCATTTAGTTACTCATTCTGCATCTGCAGAAAAAACAAAACAGTGAAAGTTCTTTGATCACGATAATCACAGCAGTCACTTTAGCATGTCCACATCTTTGGTCGGTACTAAAACACTTGTCTCCGTTTTATGTTTTTTAAACGGTTTCCATCCGCTTGGTGTCTTTTTATTTGTTTATCCTACAGCGCCATCTAGAGGCCTACATGAGCGCCTCTGCGATGCTCTGCATTGCCGCTGTGCTAAGCTACTGGAAGGTCCACTCACAGAGGTCATAGCTTCAGCAGAGAAATGAGACACCCGGAGCAAAGTCAGAGAATAAAATATATAAAAATATATATATAAATAATGTGACCGTGTGAAATTTAAATTTCTGAGTTTCTCCACGACTGTGAATCTGGCAGTAATTCAGGAAAATCCTCAGCTGAACTTTGCAGATTAAAAAGAATAAGAATCAGGTCTGATCTCAGCAGCACCGGCTTCCGTACTTGAAATGATTTGTTTTTTGGTCCTTAAGTGACCACCAGTCCTACAGAAGCTTGATGCACCGAGGAAAATGAAAAAACAATTAATTAAATAAATTGTATGAAACTGGATATATTACAGTGCACTTTGTGACAGTCAAGGTGTAAATTTTAGAATTGGCTGGACTCAGTAAACAGTGGCTGCGTTCATTTATGGCTGAATTCAATGAGGTATTATTGATTCCTCTTATTTGTCTAGTGAATTGGACTTTGTTTTAGCACGTTGCTCTTTTAAGAGAGCCTGTGCTGTTCTGGTTTGTGGGCCTCTTTTAATGTGGCGACAACATTAAATGTGACAAAGTTCTGCTTACTGAGATTCACACGAGCCTTGTATTTTACCATTTGTAGACTAGAAAAGTTGCAGATGTAAAGCAAAAACTCAAGGTTTCACTTTCAGCTTGTTTTAACAACATCAGCTTCACATTCTCTCTTTTTTCCCCTAAATTTGCACTCACATAGTTAATATACTCACAGCAGCAGTGAATAAATGGATCCTATAAATGTAGTGCACAGTATGGGTGGTTCGCTAGACTAAAACTAATCCGTAGCTACTGTAGTGTGAGCACGGTTTAGTCAAAGTGCAGATGATGATCAGATCTTTTAAAGTTGATTCAATCGAAAATTAAAAAGTTTGGAAAATCAATTTTTTTTAGCATTTCATAATTAGGTATACGTATTTCGTGGTTTATAATATTGATGTGAATATTCATTATTGTTTTCCTTTACTTATATTGCAGCTTATGTAGTCTTGAAAATGTCTGTCTGCAGTTGTACTGTGAGTGACTTTGATTTTGACTTCCACATGTGTCTTCTGACTGGGTGTAAAGAGAGCTATACTCTTCACAGGGTGCCTGGATAGAGGGGGTCTAATGGTAGAGAGATCCTGTCTTATCTTCCTATCCTGTAAAAGTCAGGCTTCTTGAAGGGGATCTAAGTGTCCTCTGTAATGACTTCCGCTTAAGTAGCAGGAGGAGACAAAAGAGAATGCTATAAATTACTTCAGAGGCCCTTTGGAGGAATCTTTTGCTTCAAATTGCTGAGTAAATAAAACTACCCTTTGTTTCCTCAGAATATCGGGGCTCTGTAAGACATGTAGGTGAGGCAGCAAAGGCCAGAACACCTGCTGGGGCCTAATTGGTCCCGGCTACTGTTAATGGCTTCCTGTGGCTGCTTGTTTACTTCTCATTTGTTTTCTGCACTCTGTTTCCCGGCCGCTAAAACAAGGGACACTCACTCACTTCTTTTCACTGACAGAAAAGGGTGTTTCACTGATGTGGCGCACGTAAGACCAAAGTGGGCTGTATGTGTTTGAATCCTTGAATCAAGTCAGTTTCACTTAATCAAATTCCATTAAATGTAATTTTTGACATTGTGCTTATGTAACTAATTACATGGAATATGTATATGCAAACAAATTATTTAAAGTTAGCATTTTGAG